GATTTGGTGATGGGAAACCCGCGGGGGTTACAATTGAGATGGAAAAAAAAATGTGCAAAATGATGTAAAAATAAACTTTGTAATAAAAAAATGCAAAAAAAAGATATATGATTGCTTAAAGCAAAAGTTATAAAAAAACTGAGGGGGCTTTAATATATATAGATGTACTATTTATAATAACAGAGGATGGATGGGAGGTGCATATATACAACCACCTATCTTGCAACTGTATGTTATAAATTCTCTATATTTCACCTAATGTACTACAATATTAACTCAATGCATACTGTAATAAATTAAGGAGGCATATGACAATCACTATGGAGAACATTGGGAAAAACAATGTAAAGAGTATGCTTAAAAATAGTGAAATTAAAACTGAATAGAGAAATAAATATATGAAACAAATTGACAGCAAAAACCAAAACAGTAGTTCTAAATCCATTATGTCAACAATTACATTGTATATAAGTGGACTAAATACTCCAAATAGAAGGCAGAGGTTAACAGATGATTTAAAAAGGCAAGATTCAACTATATGCTATCTATAGAAGTATACTTTAAAAATAAAGGCAGATATAGAAAAATGGAAAAAAGACATAAAAAAAAAAACACACCAAGCATCTCTAAGCTGGAACAGCTATATTAATATCAGACAAAATAGACTTCAAAACAAGGGTTTAGGAAATGTAAGGAGCAAGGGAGATAAATTTCATAATTATAAAAGCCGGTATATCTGGAAGACATAACAATAAGGAACATTACTGCTTAATAAGTTTCAAGATATATAAAGGCAACAAATTGCACACATCAAGTCCAAGACAAGTTTATATTCCTAGAATTTAAATTGTTTTAACATTTGAAAATAAATCATTGCAATTTTCCATATTAACAAGTAAGAGCGGAAATCATGATTATTTCAATTTATGTAACAAAAAGAGCATCTAAAAATTTAACAATCATTCATGATGAAAATTCTCATCAAACTAGTCATAGAAAGTAACTTTCTTAATTTAATTAACAGTTATCTGTGAAAAACTTTCCGCTAACATCATACTTCAAAGTGAGGAATAAACTCTTTCCCTTAATAAAAGATTAAAACATCTGCTTTTACCATTTCCATTGAACATTGTACTGGAGGTTCCAGTCACTATAATAAGGCAGGGAATAATAACCAAAAAAAAAAAAAATCAAGATTAAAAACAGAAGTAGAAGTGTCTCTATGCACTGATGACATGTGTATATTTCTATAGAGAAAAGTATTCTCATTGACAGTCATAAATCATTTTATATTTACTAAAGGGTAAAATACCACAAAATACCAAACACCTTACACTCAAAACTCCTACATTGCCAAGTGAAGTTAAAGAAGATCTAAATAAATGGAGAGTCATGTTTATGAATAGGATTATTCAATATTGGTAGGATAACAGTTCTCCCCAAATTAATTTATATACCCAGTGTAATCTCAATCATAGTTCCAGTGAAATTAAAGCTGTATATGAAAACAAAAAGAAACTAAAATAGCTAAAAACAATCTTGAAAAAAGAGCAATGCTGGAAGACTTACCCTACCTAATGAACTATAGTAATGAAGAGCTGCTTGGTGCAAGTACCAAAGAATATCAAAGAGCCCACTTTACTACTTCATTGCTTATTGAATCTTACAGGCTTTCTAAAAGTCCTTAATGGAGTAAATTTCATGCTAATATTATTTGTGCATTTATGATATTCCTCTACTTAGACTCAGTTTTTCCTTGCATCCAGGCACTGAATATATAAAGCTCATATATAACTATAATTTTACATAACTTTTTAACTTTCATAACTATACGATTCCACAACTGTGGTTTGTTTTAAAGTACATCTGTCAAAACAATGACTATTATGTGCGCTGAATAACCACAATCTCAATCCTCACGGGACCCGACAAGACATAAAGGCACAAAGTTTCCTTCCCCAAATTACCTACCCAAGGTGGCGGGCTGGCTGGTTTTCGGTGACACCCATTTTGGGGAGGACTCAGGATGGGGTGCCACAGGTTGCACAGGGCGAGTCTGTCTGGCTGCAAGTTTCATCAAACTCATTTGCCTCTTATGAACTATTTCCTGGACATCACCCAGCTTCTGCAGGACTTTCTGAGCTTTGGCCTGCAGGAATAAAAGCAAATCGCAAGCAGACCAGTCTGCACTGAGCATGAGGAGATAAAGCTTCTCTTTCTCCCATCTTCCTCTCTTCTCCCCAAACCCACTGCCCTCAGGTGACCCTCTTCTGGACAGCCCTATGCAAGTTACTGCATATCTCCCTTGCACCAGGACTGTGCTTCTAAGGATCTCCAAAAGTCTAGGAGAGCTTTGAGTGCAGTGATTTTATCCTTTTTACTGCTGTCTCTGCTGGAACACTCCCAAGCTGAGCAGTGATCTGAAAACACATGTTTTGTGGAGAGCGGCTGTCAGGCCATGTGCACTGATGATAGAAAACAGTGCCACAGACCATGAATGAAGGGCACTCAGACAATTTACAAAACAGGAGGACATCACAAGAAAAAATGTGCCCTGAATAAAGGCTCTCATGGAGAAAATAATTTAAATGTTCAAAGGAAAAGAATTGACTGAATTCTGAGATAGGATCAAAGGAACCACAAGCACCTGTAAAAAAGGGATGTACACAATTTTCATCCTGTGTGACCTCTTCTCTGTACATAAACAAGGAAGAAATAAACAGAAATATCACCAGGAAAAAGATAAAGTGCATAAAGTTCCCTTAACTGATGTAAGCCCTGTGGCAGAGGGTCAGGAAAGGAGACCAGGAAGCCTTTGATGAACACAACGTCTGAACTGGGAAGAGCACCTAGTGGCCTTGCTACCAGCAAGACGTCTTCTGGCTCTGGTTGGTCAGAGGGAGAGGGCAGCCTTTTCTTTGCCATGTTGACACTGACATCTGTCTCCTAGATGATTGGGATGGACCAAAGAAGGAACCCAAATTTAGAAGAGCTGAACTACCGTAAGCTATGCAGGATATTGTTAGGATGCTTAGGTCCAAAGTGCAGGCTCAGCACACATCCGGGAGGCTGCCACATTCTGCAACTGGGAAAGTAAATTTGTCTTTTTTATGCTGGGACATCTTCTGAGGGAAAGAGCGAAGAAGCCCTGAAGCAGGGCTGGAATGTCAGCTATGGAGCATATGTTGCCCTACAGCTGGAGGGCCCTGTCAAGGCTGACCTCTGTGGAGGTCACAGAGGATCTGGGGTTGGTCTCCCTCTGGGGCTCTGAGTGCAGAATCAACCTCCAGTCACATGTGGCTACTGAGCCTGGCACGTGGCTAGTCCAAATTGGGTTGTGCTATGAGTGTAGAAAACATGCCGAATTTTGAAGATATCATATTTAAAAAGAATATAAAATATTTTGTTAAGAATTTTTGATATTGATTATATGTAGAACTGGCATTTTGAGCACAGTCTGAATAAAACATTACAATTAACTTCATTGTTGCTTTTCACTTTTTAAAATATGGCTACTAGTGAATCCTCAGTGACACTAGGGACTGGCATTGTGGTCCTACTGGACAGTGTTGGTCTACATCAGGCTCAGCAAACTTTTCTGTAAAAGGACAAATAATAAGTAATTTAGGCTTTTCAGACTATCTGTTTCAATTGCTGCATAAAAGCAATGACAGAAAATTGATATATGCAAGAGTGTGGCTGGGTTCTGATAAAACTTTACTGGCCCAAATAGACTGAAGTTTGTTGACTCTCATCCTGATTGAGCTCAGGCTTTGCTTTGGTTTCAAATGTCTCAGAGAATGTTCCTCTGGCCTCAAGAAACTCCATCAAAAACTGGCATTTTTGATGACATGGTGATGAGGCCACCTACTGAAAGCCACCACATTCAGGGCGAGGACAATAACATGGGTGCTACTGGCTGCACATAGATCAAGGCATCTGATTGGCCAAATAACTCTCCAACTGGTAGCATGTGGTGTCTGCAGGCCGGGGCCTTACCACCAGGGCTGGGCCTGGCTCATATCGCCTGGGTCTCTTTGCCTCTCTCCCTTATAATCCTAGCATAAGTCCTGGGAAAGTGAGGCAGTCAGAAGAGACCCCAAACTCATAAGCTGAGGTGAGGGGCACATTTGTGCAAGATTAACAATCATATCCTCCCCTTTCTGCTCTCTACCTGCAAATCCATTCTCTATGTCACACTCTGAATTATGTTTCTAAAATATCAATCTGGTCATATAACTCCCCTCTTTATTCCCACAATGAAAGAGGAAAGGCCAGATAGCTTATTCTGGAGCACCGAGCTCTTCATCCTAAGCACTTGGTCCTAATTTCTCAGAGATTTACCTCCCGCCAGGACCCACCCTCTAACACCCCAACATCTAGTTGCCACAATTGCCCTAAGTGCTCTTCTGTTGCCAGCTGTCTGCCTTTGGACCTTCTATTTCTTCCATGTTCCCACCCTCTATTTTGTCTCCTTTGAAAGTGCTACCCGGGGCCCTCCCCTGTAGCGAAATGAGTAAGGACGCAGCAATACAAGCAAGCCACAGCCTCTTCAGTGCGAGTTCGATCTCCACCGGGAGGTGACCCACATGGCGCGGCAGACATCTCCTGACCTGCCTGCTGCTCCCCTCAGCAATGTACTTCGTTGATCTGCCCACTCTGTCTTTGGTGAATCCTCTTACTGTCCCTGCACCTCTAGCTTATACCCCATTTTTGTATGCATAAATAAAAATCTTTAATAATAAAAAAAGAAAGTGTTACTCAATTTTCCCAAATGAATTTAGGTGCCTTCTCCTGTGCACACCTTTGGGGCCCAGGCCGAGCTTAAGACTACTTCCCCTGTGTGCCTTACTGTCTCTAGTGAACTTGTTTGGAGGCTCTAAAAGGGCACGGCAGCTACTCTTTTATCCATGACCAAAGAATGGGTCATTCTATTCTGGGAAGGCCATCCTCTTTGATCTAGTGTGAAGCTGTGGGAGGGACTGACACGGAGCAGTGAGGAAGGAAGAGGACACATTCCCAGTCAGCTATATCAGCCTGATCGACCCTGGCAAGCAATGGGGTGACAGATGTCGAAGCCAGATGGCCCTCAGATCCTGTCTCTTGCATACTGCATGCTCTTGGTGAAAGAGCACTTAGTGGGCACATGCTTGTCACACTAACCTGGCAGCCCAGGACTTGAGGGACTGTTTTCCATGATTATCTTCCCAGAATAAAGCCCGGATTGGAGCCCAATGAATGTTTGAGGAATTGAATTTTGTAATTTGCTATTGAGATTGTTCATTTTCTAGTCTGGGTAGGGAAAAGAAATCTAAATAGTAGCAATAAGAGAGTAACACAATGACAGTGTATTAGGAAACCTCAAACAGAGATAGTTCTTAAGAATAAGAGTCTATTAGGGCTCTCCCTGGTGGCGCAGTGGGTTAAAGCACTGCACTAAGAAGCTAAAGCCACTTCCACATGAGTTCGATTCCCGCCTGCCCTGGAGGTGACCCACATGGCGTGGCAGACCTCTCCTGACCCACCCGCTGCTCCCCTCAGCAGTGTACTTCATCAATCTGCCTGTTCTGCTCCCCACTCTGCCCCTGGTGAATCCTCTCACCCTCCGCATCTCTGGCTTGTACCCCAGTTCTGTATGAATAAATAAATAAATCTTTAAAAAAAAAAAGAGTCTATTAATGGCTTATTTTTGCTAATCACTAGGCTTAAATGTTATTTAGAAATAATAGCAGCTTTTTAGAAATTACATGTTATTCTTTAGAATAGTTTTAGATTTACAGAAAAGTTACAAAATAGTGCAGGCTTCCCATATATACTATAGCCAGTTTCCCCTACTATTAACATCTTATATTAGAATGGTACATTTGTTATAGCTAATGTGTTATTGGGTTTCGGAAAAGTCATGACACATTTTCGCACTGAAAACAGAAAAAATACGCCATTTCTTTTCTGACAACCTAGTAGTATCGGTTCGTTCTTTTTTATTATTAAAATAAATTATAAATTCCCTATTCTATTCACATTTTCCTAGTTTTTACTGAATGTGTCTTTTTTCCCTAAGGTTCTATCTAGGGCACCACATTCCATTTTACTACCATGACTTCATAGGTTCCTCTTGGTTGTGATGGTTTCTTAGTTTTACCTGGATTTTGATGACCTTGATTTCTTTAAAGGACTATAGGTCAAGTATTTTACAGAGTGCTCATGTGGAATTTATCTGATGTTTTTCTTATAATTAGCCTGGAGTTATAGATTTTTAAGAGGAAGACAACAGAAATAAAATGCCATTTTCATCTTTTCTTTCAAGGGTACATTCTTTCCAAGTGACTGTTGACCATGATCACCTGTTGAGGTAGTATTTGTTAGGGTTCTCTACTATACAGTCACATACTGCACTCTTTGGAAAGAAGTCACATTGCAAAATCATATTCAAGGAAAGGGGGTTTTCCTCCATCTCCTCAAGGAACAATTTAGAATTTTTCTGTGTGAACAATTTAGAATTTAGAATTATTCTCCATGGAAGATTAGTTTCCTCTCACCATTATTTATTTAGTTCATCATAAATTTTAATCAGCATGGATTCATGGATATCTATTTTATATTTTGGTTGGTAATCCAACACACTTTATGAATTTTATTGTTCAAATTGTTCCAGTATTGGCCATGGGGAGCTCTTTCAGTTATTTCCTGAGTCCCCCCATTATGGTTTGCTGTTTTGACTCTAGGCTTCCTGGCACTATAAGATATATAATATCATACATGCATTTCCCACCCCAGTTTTAGAATTAGTCACTTCTCCAAGAAACCCAGGTCTCTCTTCCTGGCAAATGATATTAGAAACCCAAATCTTGTTGCTAGGTATGCTTATCGTACTGAACATTTCACTGCTTCTAGGTGAGAAAATACAAGTGTCTATATTAAATTTGGCACGTACATCTATCTGAGAGGGTGTCTATAGGTGTAGAACATCAGTCTGACAATGTCATAAGTTCTCAGTGGACAAAACTCTCCAACACAGCAGATTATTTAAATCATTTAACTTAGAATTTTATTCCAAACCTAAAGAAGAGATAAGTTTTAGGGATTTTTTGGGTCTATTTTAATTATAAGTTCCATAAGGGATGGATGCACGTCTATTTCTGCTCATTGTTGTGTCCTCAGAAACACAGCACAGTGTATGATACATCAGAAATGCTCATAGTGTTTGTAGAGAAATGAATGGCAGATGGTGATGTTCAAGTCAAACCAGAAACACAGACCAGGAATCTGAGAGGTCACAGAAACTGGTTAACTTCACTACATTCTACCTGGATATTTTTAGGCAATAAGCAAAGTCTTCCCACAATTGCTCCCAACCACAGAATTAAAATATCCCAGAGACATTACCTTTACTTCAACGGTGAGTATCAGCTCAAACTGGTTGTAGAAGTCCCTGGGGTTGGGTAGCTGGTAATCCTTTGCTGTGCCCAGGAACGTCTCGATGTCATTCAAGGCAGTGTCAACTCCCTCTCGTGACTGGCACTTATCTATGGCTTGGAAAGCCAAGAGGTATATTCCTGCTTCACACCACTGGCTGACCTTTAGGAAAGAAACACAGTGCCCTTGGCAGTTAGCTTGACCACATTCCTCAGAAGGTCTGCGTTTCTATGGGATCGACAAGGAATCTGAAACCATGGGAGCTGTTGGGGAACAGCATGAAGTTTAGAGGTGTGACTGCTGTAATTACGGTGGTTGAGTCCAAATAATTTCATATCTGTCCAATTCCCAGGGATGTTACCCAGTCACATAAATATTCTTCCCTTCTCCAGCCACAAAAATCATTACATCTTCAGGAGAAGAGAGTTAAGTATTGCTAAGTTTGGCTTAATCATTAAAAAATATAACCAGTGGCTTTTGAAGTTTATTTCTAGTTATTTGTCTTCTACCCTAATTGGTCATGAGCACACAGTGGTTGATGAGGCATGAGGTCTGGCCGCCTATATGCCTTTCTAGGGGAGAGAATGTTCCATTTTAACAAAAACACCACTTTCCTCTGTCCACATTTGCATTTATTGGCATTTTTCTTTCCTAGGGAAACTTCCAAGAATGTAAAATTTGGTAACTCAGACCAGTAATACTCTAACTTTGCAGAATGCTGGAATGAAATCAGATAGGTGATGATTCCAACAAATCAGTGTTTTTAAAGACTTGAACAGAAAGACAGGGGCCCTTCTACTGCCTGAAAATCTCCATGAAAAGAAGTTTCCAGTGTGGACTCATGTGATCTGAAGAGCTATGTAAAATAACTACAGAGAAACAAGATCAGAAGGGAACACTCCAAAGTGGCGATACTTAGGAAAATTAATAGGCACTTAGATTTGGTCTTCATTTTTTCCTTAAATGATGTATATCGAACATATCTTCCTTTTAGAATTACAAAAAACAAGGACATTTAAAAACTGATAGCTTGGCATGTGGGTGAGAAGGGAAGTGGGCTAGTAGGTGTCTACGAGTGACTTTTCCCTCTTCCTTCCTGTATTTTTAGACTTCCAAAATAATGAAATGATACTTTGAAAATTTCCTCTTTAATCATCTTGCCTAGGTTTGCAGAAAGCAAACCTAGTCACAGCAGTCACTTAGGCACACATGTATGCTTGTGCACACATACACCCACACACACACGAGCACAGGCTTTAATTTCTGGAGCAGAAATAGAATAAGGGAAACAGCAGCTGATCCTGCAGAGGGCCCGGCACACAGAGCAAGCTGTGCAACAAGCCCTTCTGAATCACTGGCTTCTGAAACAGCTGTGTCTCATTGACATTAAAATCCTGTTGGCAGTGGGATGATGTAAAACAGCTTGGATGGGTGCCCTGGGCCCTGTGAGAGAGAGAGAGATATATCGATGGGAAGGGAACGTGCTGACTCATAGCCTAGAGCTATGCGCTGTCTGGGAACAGCTGACAGGGAAGGCTCCAGAAGTCACTATCTCTGCGGACAGGACACTTGCCCGAGGTCACCACTGAAGGGCACAGGAGACTGGCATTGCTGTCTAGCCCAAGGGGAAGTTTGGAAGTTAGCAGTCCTGACTTCAAGGCTGGCATCCTCTGTTCACCCTGAGGGCTTCTCAGTGTTACAGTTTGTGCCATCTGCACTAGCGTGATCTGTGTACTTAACTAAAATCCTGATTTGTGGGCATCGCTCCAGGCCTCCTGGATCTTGCCTCAGAGGCAGGGTACATCAGCAAGCCCTGCAGGGGAGTCTCATGAAGTCAATGTTGAGAATCACTGACTTACCCAAGTGGAATATCAATCTTTGCCTCCATAAAATGAGCCCATTAAGACATTCCTCACAGGTTGTCTTAAGGATTAAATAGATGACATATTATGCTCCTGGCAGGAACACAGTCAATGTCCAGGAAATGGTCATGATGTGCCCCTGTATTTCATGAACAGCCCGCCATAAAAACCCAAAGGCTTCACAGTCTGATGTTTTATATGAGGCAACACTTTGCAAATAGAATTTTGTTCTTTGGATACCTGAAGGGATAACAAGAAATGTGCTAGAAGGTCAGGCATCACATTCTTTAAATCCAGGTCCACTGAGTGAAATGGTCTTTAGTTCATTCTAGTAGGATGTGGTAAGATTGTTAGAGCAATTTTAATGTCAATACCTCTATGATTAAAGCCTTGTGAAAACTGATCGCATGAAGCACTTATCCTCCCAAAAACTGTGGGGCAGGAAAACTGTTTTATAGAAAATCTTACAGACATTGTGGTCATGCTTGGTTTTGCTCACCTTGTCTAGCTGTCTATGTAACTCCAAGGACTTTGCGAAAATGTCATCTTTTTTCTTGTTTTCATTGATGAAGTCATCACAAAGGTGCCTAAGCTCCACACACCTGGGTCTGATGGAGTCTGCTGCATAGTGGTGGCTTTGAATGAGCTGGTCCCCAATGAGTGCCAGGAGCTGGGCCTTTTCCAAGGTCTCCTACAAAACAAACATGCAGAGCCAAGCATCAAAAGCCAGGTCATACAGAGGCTGATATTAGTCTGACACTGTATTTCAAGCCTGGGGGTGGAATTGTGGAACTGTTGATTTAGGTCTTAAACAGAAAGTCTGTGTTCGATGGCCATTCAAGGTTCCCTGGAAATCTATTCTAGTTCAAAGTCATTTGCACTCGGTAGGATACCAAGTCATTCACTCAAATATCTGTTGAGTTTTAGGGCAGGCATTGAAGATACAGTGTTAACAAGCTAGGAGTTTTCAGCCTAATAAAGAACTCAGACAGGAAATAAATTATACAAATAATTAGATGATTACAACAATGATAAGTTCTAAGCTAGGAGAGCATGAAATGTTACATTGCACAGAACAGGAGACTCTAAATCCCTCTTAGCTAAACAAAAAAAGGGAAAGGGCCAGACAAATGGCAGTGAAGAGAGTAGAGTGAACTGAAGTTAGGAATCTGATAAAGATCTGATTTGGAAAATTCTATAGGCAGTGGTTGTGGGGGGAGGGGTCATGTGACTTAAGAAACGTAGTTATCTAAATTGCTTCCTTCAACCCACAAGATCTCTAACTGCTCTGACCTTGTTATTCAGATACTGCATCTCCTACCTCTCTCTGCATGGCTTGCTTTGTCCTAATCACAAGTGTCATGTTTTTAATGGATTCATTACATATTATTGAGGTGCTAACATGTGCCAAATATTGCATTACGTGCTGGGGTTGATGGTAAACAAGGCAGACAAAAATCCCTGCCCACATGAAACTTACATTTCAATGGGAGACACAGGCAATAAACAATTAAATATATAGATTCTGTATTAGCTTAGTGATGAATGATATGGAGAAAAGTAAAACACAGAAAGGAGTACTGGAAGTGTGGGTGGAAGAGCTGCTATTTTAAATATAAGAGGAAAGATTTCGCCAAGAAGGTGCTGTCCAACCTGTGCAGAAGAGATAATATAGCAAATCTGAGACTGCAGTCCTTAGCGAGGACTTGGGTGATCTAAGTTGACACTTCTCCAAAGACATGGAAATGGGCAACAGACAAGAAAAGTTGGTCAGCAGCTCTTACTATTAGGAAGATACAAATCAAAATACTCATGAGTCATCGACTCACACCTATGTGACCGGTTATACCAAAAAGTCAGGAAACACAAATGTTGGCAAGGATTTGGAGACAAGGGAACACTGATACATTTCATTTGGTGTTGGTGGGAATGCAAAGTGGTACAACCACGGTGGAAAACAGTCTGGAGATTCCACAAAATGTGAAAATAAGAATGCCATATGGTCCAGCTAGTTCACTTCTGGGTATTTATCCAAAGAATAATAAATAAATAAATAACCCCACTAATTTGAAAGGATATATGTATCCCTGTATTCCATGAGCAGCCCCCAATAAAAACTCTGGGCCCTGAGCCCCTAGTGAATTTCTCTGGTAGACAACATTTTATAGTGTTGTCACAAGCCATTGCTGGGGCAGAGACTATGGGCATCCTATGGGTCTCCACTGGGAGAGGGCCTCAGAAGTTTGCACCTGATTTCCTTTGGTGCAAACACCCCACACAGATGTTTTCTTTGCTTGTTCTCCTTCATGACAATAAATCAAAACCATAAGTTTATATATGCCAAGTCCTGTGAGTTATCTTTGCAGATCTTTAGTTCTTGGTGTGGCCTTGAGAATCCTTGAAACCAAAGCCACGCCTCACACTACTTGTTCCAGAGTTAGGGGCATAATTGATGTGTTCGGTTTAGCAGAAGGCCACTGTGGGTAAAGGAGAGAGACAAGCAAGAGTAGGGGACGCAGTCAGAGAGGAGAGAGGGGAATCGAGTTGGGCAAAGTCCTGCTGCTGTTGGGAACACTTGACATTTATTCATTGTGACGTGGGAAGCTCTGCAGGATCGCAATTATATTTTTAGAAGAATCGCTCCAGCTGCGGTAGCAAGAATGGCTGAGAAGAGGGAAAACTGGGAGGCCAGTTAGGGGGCTATAGCAGTTACCCAAGGAAAAGATACCCCTTCAGCAAGGCTGGCAAACTCACCCTACCTGAGGAGCTCATCTCAGGCTCCAGCTCACAAATCCCACCGCCACTCCCTGAAACACACCCACTCAGGCTTGCTCTCTCACTTAGTTTTCATTGATTTCCCAGCACGGTATCATCTAGAAGTATCTTCTTTATTTACTGTAATGTGTGATTCCTTCCTCCTCCACCCACTTCCACCAATACAAAAGCTCCATGACTGTACTTAGTAACTATTGCATAAATATTTGATCAGTAAAATGAATGAATGAATAAGCCAATGACCTGGATGTGCAGTGACTATGGCTGGATTTATGTGAAACAACTCTGATCTGTGGGTCATCACAGGACTGTGCTGTTCCCGTAGATGTCCAGGAGCAGGGAGCCCACCCACACCCTTGCTGACCATGTGGGGTCAGCACCAATATTTTACCTGATTTAATTTTTTACAGTAAATAAGGAGTCACAATGATTCCAAGTAATGACAGCTTGCTCCTCTCTTCACTTACAATGATTTATGGCTTCAATAACTCAAGACCCTCTCCCCCTCCACAACCAGTCACTCGCCAAGCCCTACAGAGTTCATATGTTTCTTATTACCTTTTGGAGTCTAAGCCTTTTTCTACAACCTCTTTGTCACTGTGTGTTCAGGCCTTCCTCCTCTCTGACTAGAACAGCAAGTCTCTGCTTTCTTCAGCCTCTCCTCTAAAGCATGCCCCACTCTGCTGATAAAGCAGCAATCCCACTGCAATATCTTGTCAATAATTCCTCATTCCCAAGTCTCAAATCTTTCCATGGCCCTTATGTTCTTCAGGAGGCAATTCAAAAACTTGAGCAAAGCACAAAAGGTCTTTCTTTATCTCCCTGATATCTGTGACTCCTCCTTCTCCACGTCCCTCACCCCATCTTCTGCTATAATTGAACTAACGACCTATTTGTTATTTTCCAATTTGTTAGGCAACTTCCATTCTCCTGCCTTCTCTACTTGCTCTCCCTGCCTAGAAAGCCCCATCCTTCTCTTGCCCTTTCCTTCCACCGCCCATTCCCCATGCATCCCCACTCCTCTGGAACTAACTCCTAGTTACCCTTCAGAGTTGATTTTCTCCAGGAACCGCTCTCTGCATTAACCATTTTATTTCAATGTCTGCATGCTCTGCAATAATCCATGACTTTCCTAATACTTCACTGTATGGGGAGACTTACCTATCATCTGTGCTATGCCATATACCATATTGCACGCACTAACTCATATTCAACTTAAGATGATAAATGGCACATGGTACTTCAGAATAAATATTGTTGCACAAAACAAAAAGCGGTAATTCTATGCACACAAAGTGACACATGGAGCACTGACTACTTAAAAGAACTCAGGGATAAATGCCTGGTGCTCTGGTTCTGCATAGCAAAGGCACAGAAGGCCCAGCTGTGGTCACCATTCCTGAAAGGAGATTAGGGTGCTAATACTTTGAGCTCAGATTTTTTACTATTTTTTTAAGACGCTGTTTTTTTTTTTTTTAAGACTTATTTATTTATGCATAACAGAACTGAGTTACAGGCCAGAGGTATAGGGGCGGAGAGAGGATTCACTAGAGACAGAGTGGGGAGCAGAACAGGCAGATGGACTGAAACACATTGCTGAGGGGAGCAGCGGGTGGGTCAGGAGAAGTCTCCTGTGCCATGTGGGTCAGCTCCCTGGCCAGGGACTGAATTCGTGCTGAAGCAGCTGTGACTAGTTTCATAGTGCTGTGCTTTAACCCAATGTGCCACCAAAGACAGCCCAGATTTTTTACTATTTTGTTGCTATGTCCTCAAAACTTAGACCAGTGCTAGGCATGGTAGGAGACCAACAAATACTTACACAAAGAATGAGGAATAAATGACATACATTTACCAGAGATGCTCAGCTACTGCAAATTCAACCTAGGAAACACTCTGGAGCACGGAATTTATCTCACTCCTTCTAAGATGTTCACAGCAACGAACATTCACTGTGAGCTTTCTACAAACCGGTGCTGTTCTGAGACTTACCTTGATTGTTTCTTTTACTCCTTAACATAAACCCTTGACTATATTTTTTACAAAAGATACAAATACTTTTACAAAAAAGTAAGAGCTGCAATGGCCCAAGGTGGTCCAAGTAAGAAAAAAGAGCCAGGCTTCAAATTCTTGATCTGGCTTCAAAATCTCTTTCTCTCTCTCTCTCTTTTTTTTTTCCATAGAGAAAAATGAACTAACGGTTTCTGCATAAGCTTAGAGAACTCTTGGTTGGTGCCATCTTTTGGTTGGTCAAACTTATCTGATTTTAATCAAATATAGAAACATGAAATCTGGCAAGAAAGTCTATGTTGATATATTTTTTAAACCCAGATGTCTAATTTATTAAGAACAGTACAAGTTTTCCAGGAGAGGGAACTTCACCACAGAAGAGTTCCAAATGCTCTCACATGGCATGCGGTAGCTCTTCCTTCAGAGCTGTTCTTCAAACATTTGAGATGTTTGAGAAAAGATGTGAATAATGTCACAATGGTCTTGGAGAAAGATCCATAAATATAACAGAAGCCACCGCTGGTTGGCTGAAAGATCACCCTACTGACATGAATGGATAATAACAGCAGCTTTTGAGTTCTGATCACCTACCGTGTTTTCAGGTGCTCACTAAGTCCCTACTACACTTCTAACTATTGCGGCTTTACAGGACTCTGAAGTAGGAGCTGTCCTTATCTCAAAAATAAGAGGATGTGTTCAGAAAGGCCAAAGAACTTTACTACAGTCACACAGTGGATAGTTATTAGAGTCAAGATTTTAATCCAGTTCTATCTGACTCTAAAGCCTGTGTCTTGTCACTGTCCAGCCTGTGTGGACATCCCACTGTGAATTTTGTGAATGAGGCTATATAACCATGACTATTAATCCAGCAGGTGCCTACAAAGAACTCCAAGACTGGAAGGTCTCCAAATCACAGTTTGTATTTTAATCTACACAACTTGTACTCAAGGTAAACAGATAACATGCCTGGAAAGTTAGAAAAAAAACAGCTGAAATCTGGTGTTCTGATCACAAGCCTGTCTAGCATCTTAAATGCTATAAATTCCAGAAGGCTGGATGGTAAAGTTACAACATGTAATTCAGAAATCTTTAGCCTACCTCCCTCCCCACTCAAGGACTCTACTTTTATTAAAGGTAAAGGTTGAGAGCTATGGAAGAAAATGGTGAGAAAGAATGATAATGTTCTATCAGTGAGCCCTAAGTAAACCCACAAACAACAGTCGGAAAGATGAAACAGGAAAAGCAGCAGGTTTGTGGGTGCCAAGCTGAACAACAGATGGATGGGTTCATCTAGCTCTGTGTGTGACTGAAGATTCCATTAAAATAAAAAGTCGCGCCCTCCCTGGTGGCGCAGCGGGTTAAAGCACAGCACTAAGAAGCTAAAGCCACTTCAGCATGAGTTTGATTTCTGCTCTTGAGGTGACCACATGGCACAGCAGACCTCTCTTGACCTGCCCGCTGCTCCCCTCAGCAGTGTACTTGTCAATCAGTCTTTCTATTCCCCACTCTGTCTCTTGTAAATCCTCTCACCACCCATGCACCTCTGGCCTGTACCCCAGTTCTGTAAGCATAAATAAATAAATCTTTAAAAAAAAATCAGGTGCTGTGGTGGTGGGTTTGATGTAGTGACATACAGCTGAAAAGCTGTGAAACTATTCCCCTAGATCATATGCAGTGTCATAAACAACGATGACTTCAACAAAGAAGAATTAAAATCAATCATTTGAGTTTTGACAGTAAAAAAAAAGCCCGTGCCTCCCCAGCTCTATTACCTCACTAGGAGTTCATGACCTGGGTCCCTGCCTTCCTGTACATGGTAGCACTAGTGCTGACCCCAGAGTTGGAGGGAGAGGTCAGGGCTGATATCTTATTGGTCTTTTCTTCCCTCTCCTGACTGAGCCCTCGTACTCATCAACAGAGGCCCCAGGAAGCCTCAAAACCTAGAACAAAGTTTTCTTTTTTTTAAAAAAAAAGAATGCCGGCCCTCCCTGGTGGCGCAGCGGGTTAAAGCACAGCACTGAGAATCTGAAGCCACTTCCGCATGAGTTCGATTCCCGCCTGCCGCCTGCCCAGGAGGAGACCACATGGCGAGCCAGACCTCTCCTGACCCGCCCGCTGCTCCCCTCAGCAGTGTACTTCGTCAATCTGCCTGTTCTGCTCCCCACTCTGTCTCTGGTGAAGCCTCTCACCGTCCCTGAGCATCTGGCCTATACCCCAGTTCTGTATGAATAAATAAATAAATCTTTAAAAAAAAAAAAAAAGAATGCCTGAAACCATTGTTTCTCAGGTGCAGAAAAAAACATTCAAAAGATTTCTAAACTCTTAAACCATAACAAGATAAGTGAACAGGCTTGATTAGCAGGCAGCCAGAGTCTGCTTAGTGAGCTGGTTTCAAGCTTACTCATGGGAATATGACTGCTGGAATTAGAAAGTCCGCACAATCTGGAAATTCGTGTGTGACTAGGCTGAAAGAGTAACTGCCCTGAGTGTGAGTGAAGGACAAACCACGCACAGAGTCCTCGTTCCTCTAACCCTTGGGAGCATGAATGGAAAGGTAACTAGCCCTTATCACGTGAAGAAACAATACCTCTTAGAAACCTTCCCAAAGATCTGCTTAAAAGGCCCCAATTATGATAACTGGCTGCTTATCATTATCTGATATACTTACTTAATACTTATGTTTACTTAGCTAGCTCTCCCCCCCAGAAGAATGTAAACCCCATCAAAGCAGAGTGTCACTGGTTCCCTACCATATCCATGGAGCCAAGGGCAAGGAACAGCTGGTGGTGAATGGACACTTCTCTACTGGTCAGCACGCACACAGATATATGCTACAATCATATTTTTCAAATGAAAGAAGATTTGATGTGATGACACATTCTTTAGAAATATATAATTGTGTGTAAGTAAAGATACAGGAGTTCTCTTGAGAAAAGCTAAAATGACAAAAGTGGATTTGTCTTGAAGAATTTGAGGCATACACATGAAATTCATCATTGATTGATAAATGTTTCTGATGACTCATTTCTTTAGCACAAAATTGTTTAGCTAATGCTTATTGTTCTGTGTGTTCCAGCTCAGTGAGTGTAACTGGATTGCAATGTATTACTATCTTTTGGGGTGTGTGTATCGGGGATGCGGTGGGTGGGGCTGTGTCTCATGATAACATGTTTGTCAATCATCAACAGAGCTTATTGAAATGCAGATTTTGATTCTGAGGAGGGCCTTGAGAGTCTATTTCTAAGAAGTACTCTGACATCTGTGCCGCTGGATTACACTTTGAAAGGCAAATCTCTAGTCCTACAGATCACCATCTGGGAAACATGCTTCTAGTTCAGAAAGGAACCACTGGAAGACTTGATCCCCAAGAGACAAAAATATAGAGAAGCTAATTAAAGAAGGGCAAAATGCAACTTCATAATTTTTTTAAAGGATTTATTTATTATTTATGCGTACAGGCCAGAGGTGCAGGGGCAGTGAGAGGATTCACCAGAGGCACGCCACACATCTGGCCACAAGGGTGAACTTCCCAGCTGACAGGTGAAACACTTGACCTGAGCAATGGCTCTCTGTGGCTCTCTCCCCAGCTGTTGCCCCACTCACACTCTGACCCCCATGAGCCAGCAGGGTCAACCTGAGCTCTCACCCCACCTGAGCCTCCCGCTTCAACCATTTGCTTCCAGGAACCCTAACACAACTTGTACTGCTGGCGTAACTCACCATAGTTTTTAATGTGCCTATCTCCTTGGGGACCTTCAGTAAAAGCAGGTGGCTGAAGGGCAGAATTTGGGCATTCCTGTGTCCTTTAGGAACCTCCCAACAATAATGTGTGCACACAATTTGTCACTGTCCACAGCAACTTCCTTCCTAGTCCATATAAATGGCAAAATACTAACCTGGCCTTTTTTTTCCAGAGTTTTGTGCTCCTTAAGAAGTTGTTCCACATGCATCAAACAGTCTCCAATGTCCGTGAACTCTGCTTGCTCTGCCAACAAACTGTCCAGGGCCAGCTTAACCTACAAGACACATTAGAACAGTCCAGAAGTAAGCCAATGAGCACCTGTCTGGAGGTGTACATGTATGATACCTCTTTAAAAAGAAAACAACTAAAATATCCGAAAAGGACTCAGGACTTGTGTATATCTATCCATGTATATTTTTAAGTTCATTAAATTTTAGATTAAGTTGGGAGGGGGTGGTAGTTGCTGAGATGAAATGTAGATAGCATATTAAAACTACACAGAATAGATTATCAATCAAAAGGAAGATAAAACTGAAATGTCATCTATGCCAAAATATGTCAAGAAAATGGAAATCTAGATTATCACTTCCCTAAAAAGTGAAAGGTTGGCATTCTGTGGGGAAGCAAGGAGAGGGTGGGACTGGGGTGGGCAGGTGAGGGAGGGAGTCAGTACCTAGAGTTCAAAGGGAAAGAGAAATCAGAAGTCACTAAGTTATTAAAAAAAAAGTTCCATTAAACAGGAAAATAACACCTCACAAAAGTTGTGCTCAAAGTGCTGTAGCTGTAGGCATTGGTTAAGCTTCCGGTGATGCTCAGACCAAAACTGACCAAGGGCCTTATCCGTTTCATTCAACTGAACCAATAACCTGTCAAGAAAGAATGAGAATGTGACATTATAGTTAGCATTGGAAGTGCAAAGTTACCACAGGAAATAGCATATGTAGGAAACACCTGCTATCAGTGGTGCTCACTGCAGTGAACTTATGAAAGACTGTTGCTTAGGATTTTCCCATGCTTCAGATGCTTTCCACATTTGCTATTGTTCAGTCAGGACACCCTCAATGTGAGGCAGAAACTCCCCTTCCCATACAGCTGCTAAGCTTTAAAACTAGCCCCAACTAACCGTCCCTTCACACCTTTTCTTTCTACCTCAAATGGCAGGTGTGTAAAGCACAGCAACTAACTGAACTGTTACTTAGAAATGAAGCTCACTTAGCCCTATAATCTCCCTTGAAACCTTAAGTGACAGCAAGTCCTAAGAAGAGGAAATGACACTCTCATAGGTAGATGCATGCCAGAAGGATTTTAATTTTTTGCCTTTGTTGTCTCAAGTAGTATTATTTCTTGACCCTACCAAGAGCCAACAATAGCCTGTCCCAATCTATTCTGGTTGTTTCAGAACATTCTGTAATACACAATTTTTCCTGAAAAGGCAGTTCACCTCGCACTCACCTTTCCATGGTAGTTACATTCTCAAGTTCATTGGGATTGAGTTTTCTGGTGGGAAATCTGGTCACTGGTTCTTCAATGCAAGACAGCAATGTGGCCCCTTGCTTTTCAAGCAATTTCAGCTCATCCTAGAGAAACAAAAAGAGAGGCTCTCTATGAGGCATTAACAAAAAAAATTCTTGGTAGGTCTGAAGTGAGGCAAATAGATCAGTATTTTTTTTCACCTAAAAAATTAAATACTAGGGCCGTCCCTGGTGATGCAAGGGGTTAAAGCACAGCACTATGAAACTGGATGCAGCCACTGCACCAGTTCGATCCCAGCTAGGAAGGTGACCCACATGGAGTGGCAGACCTCTCTTGTCCTCCCTGTTACTCCCCTCAACAGTGTATTTCAGGAAATTTGTTTGTTATGTTTCCCACTGTCTCTGGTGAATCCTCTTAGCCCCCACCCCAACCTATGGACTGTATCCCAATTCTTGTATGCATAAATAAATAAATCCTTTTAAAAAATAAATAAATAAATACTAAAGAAGACAAGTAGCAGCTTAATAATATTAACTAGTTTTAACAGGTAATATACATATACATGATACAAATTCCAAATATACCAAAAGATATATCTGGAAAAAGTCAGTCTTTTGTCCCCAGCCCATCCACGACCCCTTTCCAAAAGCTACAACTGTTTGTAGCTCGGGTGGTTGTTACAAACTAAAAGTTAAATTATTTAACAAATGTTGGTTCTAATCACAACAGTGACCAGAAACAAGAAAATCACAAATATTGAATGTTAAGTGTTAGAAACTGCAATGTGATGATGATGTCAAATTTGCTGGGTGATTATGAAAAAAAATTGCTGGTTGGCCATCTGGTCTCAACAGTAACTATCCGTGTCTCTTTCTATCTGCCTCCAAAATGGAAACCTTTTCATTTGGCAGAAATGGGCAGCAATTTCAGTGAGACATAGAAAGATTAGTACTTCCAGAGTAACCCTAATCTTCTCTTTTTACATGGGGACTGAAGGTTTTGCAGTTGGGAAGGGTATCAAGTTATCAACTTCAAATGCAACAGCTCTAGTTCTGTGCTTGCACAGCACAAGCTGTCTCTCAATGCCCTAGTGTTACCCATAATGCAAGTCACCGTCAGAGCCTGCCTAGGATTCTGTCCCTGGGAGTTCTGCTTTGGCTCCTGGGTCACATAAGCTGGTGGTTTGGTGTACCCTGACAATAGCCCCATAGATGCAAAAGGATCACCTCTATGCACATGAACCCTGAATTTCTTCCTCCAGGCCCAGCCACCTCCAGCCTTCACACACGATAGAACTCATTCCCAGTGGGAGGAGATAATGTTCTCCACTCTGTTCAGATAGAAGTCAGGCACCCTCTCAACCTCATGCATTTGCTCTTTGTCTCCCATCCTAATACACTATGCACACTCTTGAAGAATTCCATTGTCCACATCCAGCCCTAAACTTCTCCCCAGATCTTTTACAAGATACCTTTAACTTCTCTGATCCAGTTCCTCCAAATTCTTTGGACACTCCCTATGATCCTGTCCATGTCAGCTAATACCCCAAGTTGACCATTTGGCTGGTGTTTCTACCTGAAAACTGGACATATCCTTTCTTTTCCACTCTCAGGTATCAGTTCTTATTTCTTCTTATCTCATCAATACTCATTAACTATTTGTAGGCAGAATGAATTAATAACAGTATAAAGGAGTAAGGTTGCAGATAAATACAGACAAATTAAATATGTTGGGGGAGAAGAAGAGCATTCATTAGTAAGTATTCCAAGCCTTTGCATTCTCCTCCTTCCCACTAAAAAGGATCTTGACTTTCCTCAGATTCTTGTTTGCTTTCAGCATTCCACCAAGATCCTGGCATTGGTTATTATTGTACTGTGTGTGTGTGTGTATGTGTGAGAGAGAGAGAGAGAGACAGAGAGAGACAGAGAGAGAGAGAGAGAGAGCACGCACAAGATATGCAGAGTTGGGCAGGAATGGGGAAGGGCCAAAGAAAAAGAGACATATTGCTAAGGCAGAAGGAGACATTTGGAGGAGAGACCCCAAAAGCTTTACAAGGCAAGGAAAATGTATGAGAGAGAGAGAGAATCAATTTTAGTGAGAGGTATTACATACTGTGTATCCCCTTCATATGGTTAAAAATATATAAGGGAAAAATCATGACCTCTTTGCTGTTTGAGGACTAGAACACACAGTCAATTCCAGTAGGGTCATCTGAATCTGCCATAAGCACAGAGGGAAAGTTTGAGGAGCTATGATACTTGGAAAGGAGAAAGTTGCCCATCCCCCAAAATGAAACCTGCCCAGTCCACAGCATTGACAATTCCAAGTATATCCTACCTGTAGAGAAAAGGCATTGACCAATCAGTGCTGATGTCAGGTACCATGAAGATAACAGTGAACCAGTAAGGTCAACTGAAGTCCAGGAGTTAACCCTTCAGTTGCCAGAATTATAAGGTGGTCTCCTGGATTGTAGGAAACGGGCCAGGTTGGTGGAGTAGGGCTCTTAAGGGATGTAAATATTTAATAATTAACAACTGAAAGGCTTTTTCCATGTCTGCTCCTCACTATGGAAACAGAAGACCCACATAATGGGGCAAAGGGAACTCCATCAGGTTCAAAAGAATTTAACTTTTCTGTTGAGAACTATTTCCTATGATAAGGGTAAACATGAATGTAGATTTTCATTCAATAAAAATACATTTATAAGTGATTATTATTACAAACCAGGAACTGTGTTCAGCTGTGTTGTAGGCTGGGAGTGGAAGAGGGGTAGGAAGTGAAACGATGAATCAGATCCCAGAGACTATGGGGAAGATTAATGCTTTATACTATTTATTTTTTATTTATATTACCTACCCCATTTCTGCCACTAATAGTAATTCTTCTGTTCTGTTTTGTTTATAATGCTGGCTAATGAATTCCAGAATGTGGTCTTCATAATTCAGTAGTTGCTGAGAAAAACTTTCTGTGGTATAAAATTGATTCTAAACACTGATGTGCTAAGGTGTTTGTTAAACCAAAAGCAGTTTGTTAGACTGAAAGCAAATTCTCAATTCTGAGGACTGATCTACAGTTGATCAAAGTGGCCTTTTCTCAGGAAACAGGAGCCCTCCTCAGAGAAGGAGCCAATCAGCATGCAAACGCACTTAGATTCTCTTTATTCACAGGTTTTGGGTGAGGTCCAGGGGGGGCCCTACCTGCTCCCCTGCTTTCCTGGAGGCCAACATCAGATGTTCTGAGGACTCTTCCTCCTCTTTATCCCTCACATGGTAGAGTAAAAACACAAAGTTGAGGTTTCAAAGCTTAACAATGAAGACTAGCTCCTCATTATTCAGATAGAAAGTAACAATGATTGAAGCTGGGAACATTTCCCTGGTTATAAATGGGATGTGGCTCAGTCTGTGAGGAAGGAATTTATGTGTCTAGAGAAGAGTGCGAGCGTAAAAGTTGTAAGCTTGCTTAAAAATTTGACATTATTCTGCTACTACAAATTGCTGACATTTCTTTTCTTCATAAATAGATTTGTTTTGATAAGTCAGTGTAGTCAAGAAAGAAGATACTTTTTGGAAAGCTATTTTGAAGAAGGTGGTGGCATCTCCATAAAGAATTAGCAAAAAGCCTCAAATTCAGTAATTCTCATATTTTGACTGGTTCTTTGTAGAGGTAACTAGATGCTTCTGAGGATCTAACATCATCAAGGGGTCTCAAATATTCCCAGAAAAAGGAAATCAAAACAAGTCAAATTTCTTAAAGCTGTGCTATTTACACAAAAACTCTCCAAAGTGGGAGAAAGTCATAAATCAGACACTGTAACATGTACAGTTTAAATAGATTAAAATAGGTTAAAAAGTTGGCCATTCTGAAGACTGAATCTTCAGAAAGCAAATATGCTTTAGGCTACTAATGAGTCATCACAAAAAATCTTCAAGAAATCTTATGCATTATCTTTAAAGGGATATTAGTGTAACTTTGCAAAATACAAAATAATTATGCTCTTTAATTCCAATTCACTTAATATTCCTAATCAAAGTAAACACTTGGACAAACTGTCTGGAGAATTTTATCTTAAAGTAGTTTTTAGTGTTCTCCATGATTTTAGGGTAACATGAAATACAAATGCAAGCTTATTATAATAACTTATTAGTAATACAAGTCTTTGGATTTATTTTCTAGCAAAAAGGCTATTTAAACGGAACCTTCTAAATTCCTTTCACTTGCTTTACTGGTTAGCTATGGGTGTTTAACCAAGCTGGGCAACGATAATTAGAATATAAAGAAATTTCTGATGTCAGACAAAACTGCAAATTATATGGACCTAGAGTTACTCCACTGTACATAGTCTGAGTGACCTTGCACCCTGATGCATGTTTCAACTCTGAGAACAGCTGGTCATCATGCACACGAAACTGTTCCTTTCCCTTCACTTCACCTCTTGGCCACTAACTGTGAAGAAATGGTAAACAGTCCACTCACCAGCCTTTCATGGGTACACTCACTACACTGACAGCAGTCCTCATGCACTAGATTCACCTTTCAGATATGTGTCTAATCTAAAATCCAGAAGTTTTCCCTTTCTTGGGAAACTTAGCCTTTAATGTGTGAGTCCTGACACTCTCTCATGAAACTTATGCCAGCACTGACTTGAATTTTCAGACATCCCACTGGTTCCACTGGTTGCTTGATGGTGTCAAGACACCTCAGACATACCCAAGTTGGAATTGGTTCATGCTTTCAGTTTCACGCTGTATCTTTTGATCGCTCAGAGTAATCTTGAGATTATACTCTGAAATCTGAATTGAACAGTGCTCCCTGACAGGCAAGGATGAACTTGTCCCAACTACTAGACTCTGAGGCTGCCTTCACTATACTATGTGCTCCTTGAGTTCCCATTGTTTGTCTCTCTCCTAGCTTGTAGTGGCATGTAGTCAATAAATGCTGAATAAGGGAACAAATCAACCATCTAGCAAAGACTTTTTGAAAATTTTGGTTCATAGATAAAAGAGCTCAGAGCTTCTCAGCTCTGCAGCAAGAATACATGTGATGCTGAGATGTGAGATGTGTTCTTCTTATCCTCTATTTGCTGCTCTGTTGAGTTCTGGTCTTCTGTGAAATAATGGAATTGGTCTGTTTGTACTTCTGGAAGCAGAAAGGGACTGAGACCCAGCAATAAATTCCAGGAAGACTTCCCTTTACTGTGTGACTTGAAAGCACCCAACCAGCTTCCTTCTCCACAGGTTCTGACCTGCTTTTATGAGTCAGTAGATAGGTGCCTCTCCTTACACCTAGCTCAGAGCACCTTTCCTAGTCCTCTTTCTCAAATTAGTCTCCAAATCCAAAGACACATCGTGAGAACGTGAGGCAGTAAGTAAGCCTTCACAACAGCCACAAGAAAGCTTATGCTTCAAAAGCTGACTGCCTTCTCTCCCTCCCACACTGCACTTTTAGTCTATTATATCTTGTCCTGAGCAGATCATAGAAGCGCTGCCCTTGAATGGATGCTCACATACCTTTCTCTTGCCAGCACAAGGCTGGGGTGTGCTTTACACACAGCATCCAGCCTTAACTTTATGCATGGCTGCCAAGTCACAGGAGAGGAGGGGAGAGGACGGTTTAACTCTTTGCTCTTATGTCACTGTTCAGTTTTATACAGTAACTGGTTTCTTCCCTCAGATAGTTCTCAAAATTCTCCCAGCACCACCACACCCATAAGTCATCATCACAGTTTCCTGTTTCAGACCCACTTCTCCTCCCCTGCTGTATGACTCAGACCTTTGGTCAGCTTATAAGTTTTTGTAAGTTTTGTCTTTTTCCTGATCTTTGTCCAGTGTCTCTATATTCCATATATAAGTGAAAACATCCAATGTTTATCTTTCTCTTTCTAACTTACTTCGCTTAGTATAATCCCTTCCAACTCTATCCATGTTGCCACAAATGACATGCATTTGTCTTTTCTCATCTCTGAGTAGTATTCCATTGTATACAGATGCCACAACTGAGGATTTAACTTTTAGTTCTAATCCGGATCCCCAGGAAGCTGGACCACCTGTCGGTACAGCAGCTGGTCTGTGAGAGACCACCTACCACTCACCTGCAGTTTGTCCCACTGCCTTGTGTGGGATGTGAGAAGACCTTCAGCGGACGACACACCTTTGGGCAGCTCTGTTGTGGCTAGGCAGGCCCCAAACATCTGGAGCATTTGGGCAGTGGTCTTCAATGTCAAGGCAAAATTTTCGAGGGCCTAAAAAATCAGTTAATCATAACAGCATGAAGGCTTAACTCATATAGATCTGCCATCTCAAAGGAAGGACAGTAGAACCAGCTGTCATTTCTTGAAAAGTTGCAATGGGCTGTGCATTGCACCCAAACCTATACAGTTATCTGTCATCTCGCCTACCCAGAATGTAAGGTGTTTTACCCCCATTTTATGAAAGAAGGAATTGAGGCTCCAAAAGGTTAAGTGAATTGCCCAATATCATATTACGTGGGCAATAAAGAACAAAGGAAAGTAGGATGCCACCAAGGTCCGGTGTTTCAAGCTTAGGGCTCTGCTCATTACCCATGAACACATACCATTAAATCTGACTGGGGATTTATACAAGGTGACATGCTGCAAGAGGCAGGGCTGCCAACCTACGCCACCCCTTCCTTCCCACGCAGCCCCTACATCATCCTCTGTCCTCCCTCTTGCCCCACTCACACAGCCTGACACCTCCAAGAAGCCTGTCAGATGCCCAGAGAGGATAAGAAAACAGGGGAAATGATCAATGTTGTGATTACTTCACTAGTGACCTTTTAGAGAGTCATTTCTGTCACCTGAGGGGAGGTGTTAAGAATTTCTTATTCTCCTTTATAAAATGTATCTGTTCTTGTGTCTCTTCCACTAAGGGATGCCGCCATCAGCTGAAATGTGCAAACTGGCGAACTGGCGAGGCTCTCAAAGAGAATATCCCAAATGGGATGTCTCATTTTAGCAGAGTGCTCTAGGAAACATAGGGCCTGACCTAGAAAAGTGACGCTGGCCATTCAGAAGAGTTTGTTAAAGGCGAGCAGCCCTGAGCCACACAAGTCATCCTATTCAGCCAGACTAGCACTGCCATCTCCACTTCCCTCTGCTCTTGAGGCCATTCTGTGCATGAAGGGCGAGCACAATGTCACACTTGCCTCAGTTGCCCCTGGGCAAATTCCTGAGCCTGTCACATAGTTGGGGGCCCATCACATCTGCTGATAGGATGGATGTTAGGAGAAAAGAGGCCCAACCTAATTTCATGTGGGAAAAAAATTACTTCTTCACTTCATCAGAGAACATTTCTCAAAGCCAAACCCACATCAGAAAGAAGGTGTGATTGCTAAGGTGGCTTTTATGCCAGAGGCCAGGCTTTCAGAGTCCAGCATATCTCATCTTCTGCCTACAGCAACCATTTTCATACTTGAACTTTTGCTATAGGCAGACTCTCACTGACTAGCACAGGTATTAATACAACCCCAATTCATGAACTTTATAGTAACTTTTGCCTGGAAACTGATATAAGCACTAACTTGTAGGAAAATTTGTCAAATATATCAAAGTGTTATTACTTTCACATAACCTAACATCTGTTAAGAATTTATTCACTAATAGCCTATGAGGAATAACATATTTTTAAAATCTACCTTATCAGGAGAAATAAAATTCAAAAAATTTAAGAATTTTGTTTTATACGTGCTCTCTCTTGTAATGCATGAGGTTGCAGATTATCACCACTGCTCAATCTACAGATGAGGGAACCAGAACATACTGAGATAAAGTAATTTTCCCAAAATGATATAAAAATTAAGTGGCAGATTATCTGGGCTGATAATCCTAAGCACTTTGCTATATCATCACTGTGTATCCATCAAAATCAATCAAAGCTAGACTTAACAAAAGTTGATTTAAAACTACTATCACTAAAATGTCTTTATGCTGAGAGCTAACGACTTTAATTAAAGTTCAAATTCTGATCCTTTAACTATGTCATCTTGGGTGCGCCATGGAAAGCCTTAGAACCCCACTGTCTTTATCTGAAAAATAGGGATAATGCTTGCTCTGCTCTTACAGAGATTTTTTTGAATGCCAAAGTGAACATAGTAGTGTGAAGGTGTCCTGAGCCCAGTAAATAACATGGAGGTGTAATAACTGATAGTCATAATTCCAGAGATTCAGATATGAGGGTTGCAACGTCATTCAGGAAATAGGAAAAAAACAGCAAAGCTTATCTGTGGAGGGTCCTATTAATAAATTAACTTGTTTCAAGGTGTCTAGTTGGCAAATAATCAATCACCTTGGAAAAAGTAGAGCAGACATGATTCTGATAGGGTGATAAAAAGAGTGTGGCTTTCACCTTGACTCTGCTGTTACTTGACCATATGACCCTGACAAAGTCATTTCTTTACACTCAAGGTTAGCTTCACTTTCCATAAAATAACATGATTGAAATAAATGATCTTTAAGCCTCTTTTCCATTTTAAATTTTTATGAGATTCAAAGATTTGAGATCGAAATAGCATACCATTATCAAAAAAGATCTATTTTTATAAGATATGAAGTACTACAAACATGTGTATGTATATATACATATATATTACTACATTGCTTATAAGTATGTGTAAACATAAAAATATATACATTAAACATCCAAAAGGTAGCTAACATATATCTTTGGTGTTTCAATACTTGTACTATTAAAATTCACTATATTTAATACATGTACCAACACACAACAGGCCTGGGGAGAGGAGACAGGTGTGCACATGTCCCATCATGCCACGTCATTAAATAACATCTTTATGACCTCAGTCTTTGCCTCTCTCCCTATTTACAGAACCATTTTTGTCTTTGATGTCAAGGTCCATTTATTTTTTTTTCATTATTTGTTATAAATTGGTATCATTTCAAAACAGATCTGTGGCAACTTCGGAAAGGTGGACAATACAATAAAATAAAGGACTGGTAGAGAAATAAGGGTCAAAAGGAGAGGTGGCCAGTCCAATAAGGTTGGTAGAACAGTTCATGTTTTTAATTATTAAAGTAATCTATAAAACTCTAGCAATGAAGAGAGCCAGGAAGCACTCCACAGCCCAGGTTTTATATGATTTCATGAAAATATATCCTGTGATGACCCTTAGCTAACCATCACCCTTATGTATAAGATTCTGCATCAGTTTCCCTCCATATCTTTCATATTTAGACTTAATGAGAATTAAATGCTTATGAAAACTTAATTCCTTTTCATTTTCAAAAGGTTCCTTAAAAGGAACTTTAGGACTGTCCCTGGTGGCACAACGGGTTAAAGCTCCGCACTATGAAGCTCTCAGATTGATCCCCAGGCAGAGAGCTGACCCACATGGCGCGGCAGACCTCTCCTGACCCGCCCCCTGCTCCCCTCAGCAGTGTACTTGTCAATCTGCCTGTTCTACTCCCCGCTCTGTCTCTGGTGAATCCTCTCACGCACCACACCTCCAGCCTATACCCCAGTTCTATAAGCATAAATAAATAATTTTTTTTTTAAAAAAAGGAACTTTAGAGGTTCTCACCCAGCTCACTGACCTCCCTCTTCATTTGGGAAGGAATGTGCCTTCCTTGGAATTACATGACATGTAAGTAAGGGAGGGATAGGAATAGCTTTCTTGTTGTTGTTATCACTCTTGAATTATTATTTTTAGAAGCCGTAGCTTCTACATATACTGTTCCTAGAAATCTATTTTTGCCTAACTCATAAATTCACTTTAAAAAATCATAAAACATCATCACATTCTAGCATAGCGTGAATTTCCTTACCCAATTTAACACAGTTCAGGTGTTCATTAGTAAATGTTGAGTAATGTGTTTCCCAAATGAGCAGCCACAGACAGCTGTGTTGGCATCATAAGCTGTAGCAGTGTGAAGGGAACTTCTGCCTTCAACAGGAAACCTAATCTTTATAAGGGCACAGGAGCCAGGAAAGCTAGGAAGGGAGATGACAGCTGCATAAAAAACCACTTCTATTTGATAAGTGAGTTTCAATCTTACCTTCCTCTCAAGTTACTGACTCTTGTATTTGACTATAACCAAATAAATGCTAATAGGAATAAGTAGGAAAATGTGAATATTGTGTGTCAGGTGCTTTCACATACTGTATACCACTTATCCCCACATGGAGCTTCCTTGTAACTTACTTAAATCCAATGTTTCTCACCATTATCACCTCTAACATTTAGGGTCAGTTAACTCTTTGTTGTGAAGGGGCTACCTTGTGCATTGTAAGAAGTTTAGCAGCCTCTCTGTCCCCACCCACTAGATGCCAGTAACACTCATCTCCCCCCAGTCATGACTACAAGAAAATATCCGTCTAAGGACACTGACAAATGTCCTCTAGGAGACAAACATTTTCCCAGCTAAGAACCATTTTAACAGGAGAAGCTCTACGAGGTTCAGGACAGAGCCAAGGTAGGACAGTAAGTAATGGTCACAATATATATGTGCAGGTTCTTCTGGTTTGCTGGGTTTCCATCTGCCTGTACGTCAGAATCATCTGGGGGGGCTTTGTGACACACTGATGCCTAGACTCATCCCAGATCAAGTAAATGACTTTCTCTGAGGTATAGCAGCATTACTGGTGTTTAAGAACAAAAG